TTGTTAAATTATCGTCACCTATAACTACCGTACGGTACTGTTCACATACATGTACCGTAATATATCACTTTCTCTTTAAAAACTTTGTAATCCTATAAATCACCGTTATATGATCATTAATGTTCATTAATTGAGATACTTGTTTTTGTTGATGCGGCACTAGACTGTGGAAGTCCTAACCCCTGTTCAAACGGTCACTACTGCACCGTGTCCGGCCTAGCATACGTCTGCTCTCTGTGTACAGAGAATCTCTCTGACACAGCATGCAATACATCCTATATCGCTTTGGAAAATGGTAAGTGGCGAAATGTCTCGTTCCATCGACGTTATTTTTGGAATTTAAAGTGTTGTATATACACTTTCGTTTGTCTTAATTTAAAATATTATCGTACTCACGATAGGCTTAGGCCGCACACACCGCTGTGCCTACAACGGTCGTGCCGACGCGATTCATTCACACCGAATCCAAAATTTTCGGATCTGAAAGCCCACCGGCGAACCGATCAGAAAATCGGGTCTGTGTAAAGAGGGAACAATTGTTATAATTTCACTGTTCCCTGGCCGTTGCCGTACAGCACATCGGAAACTCGATCCGAATTTTGGTCAGGATCCGACGCGATCCCTACGGATTTTTTTTTTTTTTGAACGACGAATCGCTCAGAAATCTATTGACAATGAGCAGGCTGCGTCGCATCATCAAGCGGAGATGGATTCGTCGGCAACGGTCGTCAACCGTCGGCTGGCCTAGTGTGTGCCCGGCTTACTGTAGCCTTTAATACCAACGTTGTGTTATAAATTTTTCTAAGTTACGTACTTCCTTAGATCATTGAACTTGCAATATAGCAACGATTAAATAAACATGTTAATATGTAAACATAAACCCAAAACACTTTGATCTCTTATATTTTCGTACTCCTAGTATCAAAATCGCATCAGACGCATCACTAAATTATGAATAGACCTATTTTTTCACGTAAAATCAATCAATATTTAAATTACTAATTTAAGAGTAATCGGGTTTTTTTTCTAGATAATATGATAGGAATTTTAAAAGGACTTAACGGCCCATATAACTCAAATTATTGGAGTATGGGCCTTAGTATCTGTAATATCTTTGATTATGTAAAATAACGTTAAGTCGTCGGGTTAAAAGATTTATTGATCAAGTAGAAATGTAGTTGGTGTTTTTTGTTTGTAAACCTATACTAACCACCCCATCAACATATTAAACAAATAAAGATAGTTACCTTATTATATAATATACATAATAAAGTACAAAAAAATACATTTTAGGTGTTTTGATTAAACAATGCTTATGCCTATACAGTAATTATTAAAGGCAATTATTCAATTAATATTACAATTCAATTCAATTTATTCAATTTTTAATATTCAGATTCTTTTATTTACATCAAAATCATAGCCAAGGCTGAATTACATGATATTTACAAAAATGTATATAAAAAAATCAAAACATCGATCTAGCAAAAAGTACAAGACATGAAAAAAATCGATAAAAGTAACATTAAAATACATTAAAATCATTATTATTACTGTATTATTAATTATTGTGTTATCATAATTATCACATATACACATTCAAGTAAAAATAAAAGCTTTTTAAAGCATTGAACGAAAGTCAGTTTAAATTACACCAAAATGATAATTATTATCAAATATACAAATTTGAGTAAAATATATATATACTCAAGAATTGCACGAAAGTCAATTTAAATTACATCAAATGTAAAATAACTCCAAAAATATAATGTATAACCAATTCATTAAAAATTCCATGCAATATCACTTAAAATAATATTCAATTAATTATTTAAAATTCATTCAATTATAAATGTTTTATGCATGCATTATTATACTGATATATGATTAAATTATTTTTCATAAATATACTAACAATGCAAAATTTCATTAATAATAATAATAATAATAATAATAATAACGAAAATAATAAATTTTTTATAATAACTATTATAATAGTAACAATCCGATGAAATGATTTTGCACTATTAATTACCTTATTGATTATCTTGCTCTGTTTGTCAGTTACGAATCCATGTTTTTCACACTCTTGCACAAATGGTGGCGAATGTGTCGCTGCCTCGTCAACTTCATACACCTGTAACTGTTTGACTGGATATTCCGGCACATTTTGTCAGACTGTTAGTGGTATTAGTAGTAAGTTAAAGTCAAATCGAGTTTTCCAACATATTACTTTATCATTTTTCGATATTTGTTTTGTTGGTGGATATGCATATGCACGTTTATTGTGTAATCGTTGTTGGATTTTGTAAGCAATTTTTGGTATTCCTTGTGTGTGTATGCTTTACACCTTTGTTGTATGGTACGCTACGCTACCCGATCGACCTATGGAGAGTTGTTTGATAACTCCACATGTCACTGTCTGACATATTGGATCAGTATAAGCTTAGTTTTCATAAAATCGCTAAACTGTAGCTACAGCGTGTTTAGTCGTTGCACTGTGGAAAGCCATTATACCATTTACTTCTAGGTTAAATTTATGCCTAAGTGGAGTTCATTTGTAAAAGTGGAAATGTATTCAACTTAAGTGTGCTACATTACACTTAATAAATTACACTTAAACTCAATTCAATTAGGCTTAAGTGCAAAGAAAATACATTTAAGTGGAATGTAATGCACTTAAGTTGAATTAATTTACAGTTAAGTGTAAATGCATTTCCATTATGTTAATTTAACTTAACTTATATACAATAACACTTAAGTGCAAAATAAGTGTGCTTAAGTGCAATTGAATTCCAGTTAAGTAAAATTGAATTCCAGTTAAGTAAAATTTAATCCCAGTTAAGTCAAATATGATTGGTCAGTTCCATGGGGTCGGTTTTACACTAAGTGAACACAATTGGTTGTTGTATTCGAGTCCAAATGAATTTCACTAAAGTGTAATTGCATTCCCGATTCGACTGAAGTTCCCCGATTCGACTGACCTATCAGCGTCGTCGAAAGAAGTCGGCAATAGCGTGCAGCGTTTTTATGGGAACCGTGCTTATATTAATGATGTTTCCACAAAGAGGCCCAGTGTGGCCAAACCGTAGAACCACTTGTTTATGACATGATAATTATATGTATACCTACTTTGACATTTCATTCTTTGGATAGTGTTTAATTACCTAATTATTTCTTATCTTTTTATGTGTTTGAGGGTCCCGAGTTGGAAGAAATTTCTTTCGGAAATATAGTTAAATAAGCTTTCTTAACATTTTATAATTTCATTTTGCTGCGCATGGTGATACCCATCGGCACTGGCTTCCGTGAGACAATAGACAATAGTAGTACAGTAGTAAAAACATGCAAATATTATGAATTCGCGGAAATGGGTTATTTTCCGGGAGACTCTTGCTTGCTTGCTTGCGGGAGTGAGGGAGACCCTCCCCAGTATCCGGGAGACTCCCACGACTTCCTAGAGACTTGGTACCCAATGTGTTGCATGTTAAATTGTTGTAGGCCTAATCGATATAGCTTCTTGACGCTGCTCTTGAAATATACCAGATTTTGTATCACTTAAGTTGTTCAGCAAAATAGTCTCAGTTTGCAAACACGCGCTTCATGTTGAGGCATACATATCACCTTAAACGCTTTACGTTTGGTGATGAGATACCGGTATAATAGGCCTATGCTGTGTTGTTATACAGTAGGCGCATTCTACCACCACAAACGCGTTACACTCAGTGATGAGAAATGGTCAATGTGTTGCTTGAGGTGCACTTTCCTTAAGCACGTTAACACTTTTTGATAAGATGACAATACTCCTTGTGTGGATTGAGGAACACTCTGCCACCTCAATTGACCATGGAATTGGTCGCGGCCCTGTTAATTGACATTTCCAGAGTGTCAAACTTAACAACTGACAAAACTGAACGGGCCAGAAATACGGGCGTGTCTTACAAACACATGTGTTGTCTCACAAACGCATGTGTTTGCGTATGTTTTTACTCTGTCGTATTGTGGGAACTTAGCAACAGTGTCCAATGGGCGGGGTTTAGCGGAAATGTCCATTTAAGTATAACGTTTTTTCGTAGTAAATTCTGTGAATCAGTGAACCGGATTGTCTCGATCTATGTTTTATTTACTTACTTTGTAACATATAAGAAGTATGCTTTGATATAAATTTACAGACAGAAGTATTTTATTTGTGCTGGACCAAGGAGATGCTATTAATTGCGCCTCATTGGTTGGACCAGCGCATGCATGCTTGCAAGTTGCAAGTTTATGTGTTTTTGTTGGCTTTCGGGGTAGGAATTGCGCAGTACGCCACTGCATCTAGTAGTGGTTTAATATAAAGTTGTTCTGTTACATTTGACAAGTGTGCGGATAGAACTATTTCATCATCAGTTGTGTGATGACGTCTTGGATTGTAATATGATTTTTTTTCCGTTCATCTTTTTAGTTTCACCTTGCATCACCAACCCTTGCTTGAATGGAGGTGTGTGTACACCAACCGGTACAACGTTCGTGTGTACCTGCGCCACTGGATGGACGGGTACGACATGCTCAACTTCAGGTAAGGCTTCTGTGCTCTATTTGATATTTCTCTTATTATTATTATTATTATTATTATTATTATTATTATTATTATTATTATTATTATTATTATTATTATTATTATTATTATTATTATTATTATTATTATTATTATTATTACATTATTAAGAAGACACAACTATTATTATTATTATTATTATTATTATTATTATTATTATTATTTATTATTATTATTATTATTATTATTATTATTATCATTGTCATCCATTATTATCACTTATAGGGCCTAATGATGATAATAATATCTTCAGCCAGATTAGCATCAGCATCGACATCATCATTATTTGTATGCATCTTCATCATCATCATTCTCATCATCATAATTCATTATACTGTCATCATCATCATCATCATCGTCATCATCATCATCATCATCATCATCATCATCATCATCATCATCATCATCATCATGCACTTCATATTTATCATGCACCATCATCATCCCCTCCGATCGTCTGTCATCATCATTTTCCATACCATCATCATTCTTCATCCTCATCGTCATGATGACCAATTATCAAATTCATCTTAACTTCACTTGATTTTGTAGTCATTAACAATGTCAACTAAGACAAGGAATGAGGCAATATCATGTAACTAAAAAATCTGATACGTGTTGCAATGATACTTGTCCTACCTGACGAGTTGAATGATAATAGGTTTACTGTATGGTTTTGTCCTTTTGGCGTTCCATATGTTCAATCTTTGGCTCGAGTTTTGAAAATACTACTCAAGCGAGTGCACATACGCTCTTTTAACGAAAGGCCAGCGTGAAGTAGGCCTGGCTCAACTTAAAAGCTATTGTTTTTTTACTGAAACGGTCATAGGTTAGAAGCGTTGATTGTTGCTTGACACATTATTAATAGGCAAGACCTACGCTACAGTATCTTTAATAGCCTAATAAAAATAGGGGCCATGGGGCCTGCCTAGCTAGGGCTAGCCTTAACGTAACAGGCCTGGGCTAGGCCCTAAGTTAAGGCCTTAGGGCTACTACTAGTACTACTAGGCTAGCTAGGCCTTGAGGCCTAGGCTAGGGCCAGCCCTAGTGGGCCACCTGACTACCTTCCTACCAGGGCTTAAAGCCGAGAAGCAGTCAGGACTTTGCTCTATCCCCAGAGCTGAAGCTCAGCAGGTCTTATTTTCTGGCTAGTGGCCTAGGCCTAGCACACTTGGGGCCCGTTCGAGCGAAAAAATATCCGTGCGATTTACCAGTTAATTCACCGGTACACACTTTCTAAAACCGCTCGGACACTAGCCTAATTACCTTACCATCTGGATTATCTGTGACAATCTTGACTACCAAATTGCTGGGTAGAATACCATGTATGGAATGACCATGGAGCCGGAGGCAATGATAAATCAAACTTAATTGTTTTTCCAAATGTTTTAATCTTCAATACTATATAAAAGTCAAATGTATGTAAAATGAAAAACTAAAACGCATCCTGATGTATTATTCATATTTGACAATTAAGTAGGCCTACAGTACTGTTAAGTTAGGACGAATGTTGGGCTTTGTACCTGACACCAACAGTTGTTTGATGTAAAATTAATTAAAAAATTTTCTACTGACTCTGGTCTTTCTAGTTTAACGGTTTTGGATGGATGTTGAACCTTCTATTCTATGTACAGTACGTACAGTACTGTATTTTATCAATGGAAAACAGATAAACAAACAAACCATACATGGTGTGCAGTACTGGGTAATAGAAGCATACAAATAGCAGCGGGTGTAAAGGGTGTATCATTCTTAAAATTTTATTTTATTTGAATCATCATTGCAAGCGGCGGGTCCGCTAAACAAGGTATAAAAAAAGTCTTGCCTTTACAACTCATTGGAAATAGTTTTGCCCATGCATTCTTTATTTTAAATTGGTTGTTAAATTGTAAGATTCACTGATTAATCTCAGATAAGAAAGTATTACATACTCCAAATATTGAAAGTATGCTTGATGTTGAAATTATTAAATCCCAACACAATGGCGTGCATTTCAATACTTGTGAGTATTATGATTTCTTGTTAAATTGTCATGATCTGGAAAATTGCAGAACGGATGATATTTAATGATAAAAAAAAAACATTTCCATAAAGTTTTCTGATTCTAAATCTTTTTTTTTTTAGATCCTTGTAGTACCTGCTCAGTGAATGAAGTCTGTACTCAGAACACTCAAGGACAGTTTAGTTGCAGTCTAGGTATGATATGCCCTTTAGTCTCTTTGTAATTAAATTAAACTCTGTTTGGATTATTTAACTATTCAGGAGCGAATCCAGAGAAAAATCTGGGTAGAGGCCAGGGCTGGAAAAGGCACTATGAATGTCCTGGAGGCATTCTGGGGAAAATTTTTTTCAAAAAACAAGCTGTTGATGTATATAGTGTACAGATAACATTTGGTGCTTGTGGTATTTTATCGAAACAATTTTTATGGTCAGAGGCATTTTTTTTCCAGCTGTCAGGCCTGGTAGAGGCCATGTGATATGCGAGTCACCGAGTCGGAGGGGTGTTTGAGATTTTTGTTTAGAAATGCTGGACCATAGAAATGGAATTTAAAATTAAAAATTAGCTTTATTTCAGAGCACTGTGTTCACCTCTTTCTTCTTTTCTTTTATTCTCTCTTTTTTTTGGAGGTGGGGAGGGATGGCTAGCACCATTGCCTCGACTAGATTTTCTCCTGTGATACCAGAGTCCATTTTACTGTTGCAATCCACTGTCACAAAAAGTTTTATGCAGTCCACCCAATAGCGTGCATGAACTTTTGCTTATAGTCATAAGCATGCGCAATACAGAACTTAGTAGTTATTTATTGAACTGCTCATTCAAATGCAAGCTATGGTTTGTGCATAGGACTACCATTTTGTACGTACTGTATAGTGGTTAATATTTAGGCACAGGCTTACTGTATATTTTACTCCAAAACTAAATTTTTTGACAGTTGAAAATCAGGTTTTGTTGCTTAAGGTTATTTTAAAAATTTTCTTCATTATAATGAGTATTGATATATAAATTACTAAAATTTTCATATTTTACCTTTTTCTGAAATATGATTTTAACCATGATTTGTTTTGTTATTTTCTTGCTCTTTATTTTGCCTTTCTGCATTGTCTTCCTAACTACAATATTGTCAAGTGCATGAGACCTTGTTTATTTAGGCTATATAAAGTCTTCTATATTATTATTATTATTATTATCCTTATTAATTATTATAATTTATACTACTGTTTTTGTGCTGAGCATCATTTTCATTTATAATTTCATATAATAGTAATTTTAATTTCTGGGAATGATTTTTAGTTGGCCCCTGCAGCAATTACAACTGCCCTGATGGTACTATTTGCGTGGCCTCGGGCTCATCAGCTACGTGTGAAAGCGGTAACTTTTATCTCCATTTTCTATGTCTTGTGCTTGTGTGATTGATGTTTTTATTTTTGCCTACTTGCCATATTTTTTGTAAATATCAATTAATTCAGCCTTGGCTGTGATTTTGATGCGTATTTTAATAAAGAATAAAGAATAATTTCACTGATATCATTTGGGATTTTACCTTTTTTATTGTATTTTATAGCTAATATATTTTTAAATTGTCAACAATATCGCTTTTTTGTAATTTATATTTTAGTCTTATTTTCATATTGTAAATAAATAAATATATTTGTTAATAAGTAGGTAGGCATAATTAATAAATAATCTTTAATAAAATTAATTATAAATACTGACACTAAATACACTTTATTTTTTAGTAATTGTACTTTTTTACAATGTTTGTGTGGAAGTTTTTATACCTTAAGTGTTCATTTGATTTATATTTAATATGATAAATGGATGGTGGTTGGTATAGATGTCAGTCTTATACACTGTAGTACTGTAAAAAAAAATTCAACTTTTTGTTAAACCACTTTTTCCCTATGTTTATAACCCCATCTTTTGTTTTCCTCTCTTTCATTTTCAATCCCAATACTAACTTTAACCATTATTTGAGTTTGTTAATTTTCTCCTTATATTTACCCCTAGTCAGTCCATGTGATTCCCTCCTTTGCCCAGTCAATAGTGTATGTGTTCCATCTGGTTTGACTGCTTCTTGTTACTATGGTGAGGTGAAGCTTTTGCCACATTAACTTTCAAAGAATCAAATTAAATAATTAAAACTAATTTAAAACAAATACAAGTGTCCCTCCAATTAAAGACCACTTTGGTCACACATGGTCTTTATTAGTTAGCTACTTTGGTCTCTCATTAGAATAATAAAGATAAAGGACATTTTGGTCCACAGAATAGCAGTCTTTAATTGGAGGTGTTCTTTAATCGGAGTGGTCTATAATTAGAGGTAGACCCGTAAATATAAATACGATTAGATAAATAATGTTGAAGAATGTTGAATATCATTAGGCGAGACTTTTTTTATACCTGGTTTAGCAAACCCGCCGCCTGCAAATTAGGATGATTTCGAATAAAATAAACATTTGTTTTGGCCAATTAGCACAAATTTTTCTTTATTTTTGTTATACCCACTGCTGCCTTGAAATCTCCAAAAATAAGATACAGTATGTATCTTCCAAATTATAAAAATTCAAAGCATTTAACCATCCTATTACTACACTGTTTATATTCACCAATAAAATTTTATTTTATTTTCCGCCCTCCTCCAACGATCTTTAAAAAAACAAGTTGCGTGAAGTAAGGTATAAAAAAGAATCTTGCCATAAATAGGATAACATAATTTCAGATAAATAAATAATAGGATTTTTATTCAAAATATATGAAATAAATTGAAGGTGTAATCTAGCTATGAGACTGTTAAGTATGAAGTCAACTAAACAATTTGATTGATTGAAATATAATAAAAATTAATATAATAAACATAAGAAACATGTATTTGTAAATATAACTACATAGAATAATATTAAATGTGAACAATATATAGAACAATTAACATTTCATCAAAATAAAATCTTACAAACATTTTCATCTTTCTTTACGCTGCCCATTTTTTGATGCCGAAAGGTGAAACGTGTAGTCCTAATCCATGCCTCAACGGAGGTACATGTACCCCGTCGGGTAACTCTTATATTTGTGCGTGTGTTCCAGGCTACTCAGGAACAATTTGCGAAAATTGTAAGTGGATAGCATGGAGATCGTTAAACATTGAGAAATGAGTTGTGATTATGTCATCATTATCATTAGCATCTTTTTATCATAATAATTATCATTATCATAATATTCATCAACAGTATAAAGTTTATTATCGTTAATCATCATGGTCGTCATCATCATTACCACCACCTTCTTCACCACCACCATATTGTAATTTCATCAGCATCTTGATCATAATCATCATTGCGTTAATGATTATCATCATCGTCGTTTTGTTGTTCTCAAATAATATTAAACTAAGCAATATTTATATTATCATTATAGCATCATCATTTACATCATCATCATTATCACCACTCTCAATATAACATTGTTAACATTGTTACCATCGTCGTCGTCCTCACTAAAAAAATCATTGTTATAATAAATATCATTATTACCATCATCATCATCATAATTATTTTATCATTATCCAATCAGTAAGGAGTTAGTATATTTGCTTATTATACACCAGATAAAATTATTACTGTATATGAAAATTAGATTAATAATAATAATAATCTAGTTTTTTTTTTCACATCCTACACTTGCATCTTAATTTGCTTGCATGACAGAACATAATTACTGAACAACAATATTATCTTTTATATTACTTTAAAAACATGATGCATAAATGTTGACAAAAAGTGACAAACCAAGAACTACTGATGATTACCCATAATCCACCACTGCCTGTGCATACCGCTAGTTTTTCAGAATCAGACGGGCTGTAACCCAAATCCTTGTAGGAACGATGGTGCATGCTTTGAATTCTCCGAACCAAACAGCGAGCAAGTTCTTGTGGGCTTTTACTGCGAATGCACACAAGATTGGACGGGCACTCTCTGTGAAAGTTCAGGTAGCATCTGATGCCGTCGGAATTGTTTTGCAAAATATATTTTTGGTTTTTTTAGTTTTTTTTTTTCGGATATCAAGTCTTTTTTTTTTCTTATTTGCAGTGCTTGTTTTCTGTTGTACTTTAATTTTAATAGCATTTTCTCATGCATAATGCATTTTTTCTAAATGCATAAGGCATCTTTCTAATGCATAATGCATTTTTATAATGTAAATGCATCTTTCTAATACAAGATGCATATTTTTAACACATAATGCATCTTTCTATTGCATAATGCATATTTCTATTATGCATAATGCATCTTTCTAATGCATAATGCATTTTTCTAATGCATAATGCTTTTTTTCTCATTCATCATTCAATGTTTGCGGACCAACAGTCTGAAACATAATGGCTGTTGATCATGGTGGGCATTATTTGTATTTACCAATTTGTAGTTTAAACTGCGGATGTCCAGCAAGGTCAGTCGACATAAACAAACATACACACAACATAGGTTTATGTTGATTGACCTCGATTGACCTTGGATACGGGCATGCTCAATTCAGACTACGATTTGGCTTACTGACATAAAATTTATCAATTTTAATAGATGAACATAATTAAGATTTTCTAATTATATTTCACTCACCTGTTTTACTTAACCTTTTTTTTTGTTTTGTTTATATTGTGTTATATTGATAATTTAAATTGTAGCTCATTTCATTTTTGTGTTGTCATTATATTTTATTAAATGAGTAATTTTTGTATCCATAAAAAAGAATGAATAAATAAATTGTTGGTTTAATTTTATGTTTCCTTTACTGCACATGTCAGTGGTGGATCCAGGAATTTGAAATAGAGAGTCCCAGAGAAGGACTTCCACATATAAATGGGGAGAGGGGGTGGTCCTATGCCAGCCATGGTGGGGCTGAGGTAAGAAAATTTGTAATTGTGGCATCTCTAGATGGCAGGAAATGGCACTCTCAGACTAAAATGTGAATGTAATTTTCTTTTAATTTTTTAAAATTTTAAGTTCATTTTCAGTTTATAATTTTCAAAAATTTAGGTGGGGTGGGGGGTGCAGGGTGGGGCAGGGCAACTGCCCCCCCTGAAATTCACCACTGCATGTTGCAACAATACTTCACTAAAAGGGATGCATTGCTACTCAAAAGCAAAAATTTGCTCAAGAAATCATTTAATATAGAATATAATCAGATTCCATTGAAATGTTGCAAATACATTGAATTCATCGCACTTGATCTAGGCGCTGAATCTCTGGTTACGAGTAATATGTGAAAACAAAGAACTAGGCCTGAACTGGGGACATCATGCACAAAAATATGCACTTTTCTTGGTGGCCCAGTTCCTAATGAGATAGCAAAAGCTCCTGTTTTTGACATCATTATTTTCCTGCTAATATTATCAAATGTAATTGCCCTTTAATATTAAGTGAGTACTACTTTAAATGTATGTTTTTTGGATTTTTCTTCTAATTTATTATATACTAACGTAAAATTGTTTTTATGTATAGAGTTATTGGTACTGTGTTTATTCACTTTATGTAAAATAAGTTTTTGGTATGGTATTGGTTTAGGTATTTCAATTACCTTGTTTTTGACGGGTTATGTGTACAATATATGATTGTTATATTTGGTTGACTTTAATTTAGATTAAGTAAAGCGTTTTCTTTTGAACAAATCTTCCACTTGAAAGTGTTTTTGCTGATATCATGCATTGTTTTAAATATGATTATTAATAGGCAAAGAAATGAACATGATACACATCCACAATTTTTGATTGATTGATTATGTTGTGGTGTTTGTACTGATGTCCAAGAATTAAGCAGGGTTTCCAACCAAATTTTTAATGGCGCTGTATGCTGTCACAAAAGCAGTTTTTAGATATAGATCCAGTGATGCAACACCTACGTCCCCCAGTCAAAAGGGACTCTAGGGTGTGAAGAAAAAAGTGGATTATGTAAATGCAACACAATAACAATATAATTATTCAGCACAATAACGCTGCAAGTTATGGGTTATTCTCCTACCTTTACTATTTACCCATTATTATGCTGATACTGGTGACATTGCCTTTAATGCTTTTTTTCCCGAGTCTTAATATTCATAAAATAATGTTCTTAAGTCAGTGAATGCTTTGCTGAAATTTGTGGGCCACAACAGGTTTTCTTCCCATGACTCGTTCTTATGCCACTGAATAAATAGTTGAAATACATTAAAATTAAACATATTTTATACCTTGTGGCATTATCAAGCGCCTTGAGCACTTTAGTGGAGATGTGCGCTTAATAAATCTTATTATTATTATTATTATTATTATTATTATTATTATTATATCTGAACACAATTTATTGCACTGTCTTTACAGGACCCTGTTCTTCGAACCCGTGTATGAATGGAGGTGGCTGCTCAAACCAAGTTGTTAGTGGCGCAAGTTACTACACGTGTGCCTGTACTACATCTTTCACCGGTGATAACTGTGCGATACCAGTTAGTGAGTGAACCTATGCTTGTCTTCTATCTTAAACAGTAATTGTGTGCTATGTAAATAAAACTGAATTTATAGATTATTACTGTATTATATAAATGTGTGAGAAGTTGACAATATTTTGCTGTGTATTTCGCTTATTTCCTTGGACAAGACACTTTAATTATGGTTGCCTTCCTCCACCCAGGAATACAAGTGGTGTCTGGTAGGTTCAAACACAAAATGTGTGTTATTATTGTTATTATCATCAGATTATTGTTATTATGAAATTATTGTTATTACAGTTGAACTTGCCTAAGTCGAATCCAAAATGCCATTGAAATATTGTTTACAGATTGTTAATTAATGGAAAAAACAACAATTTGGCATGTAAAATAAGATCGACGTAGAAGTTATTCGACTTAAGCACAATCGACTTATGCAAGTTTAACTGTATTATCAAATTATTATTATTTATGTTAATTTTTATTACAGTATTACCATGTGACCCAAATCCTTGTCAAAATGCTGGAACATGTACAGTGGTTTCAACAACAGTTAATGCAAATGGCTACACATGTGCTTGTACATCATTCTTTTTTGGTGATCAGTGTCAAATACGTAAGTAGCAAAACTATAATAAGCTGGCTAACCACTGTACTTTCTCGGGTATAAGCCCACTTTTGGAGCCTGCCCAATACTGTACTATAAATCCGATTTCATGAACATGAGCTTCCTTGAACTAAGGGTATGATTTGAATGTGTAGTCTAGCTAGTTACTACAGCTACATTCCAGGCCTGTAGCCAGGTCCTTCCAAGTGGGGGCTCTCTGAGCATTGGATCCAAGGGCGCCTCGCTGGGGGTCAGCGAAACCCCTGAAGCCAGAGGACTGTTGTGTTTTATGGGTCTAAATAATGCTATGAAAGGAGTTATTTTGAAAAATTTCTGCAGTAAAACATTCCGTTTGAGTCTGGGTGGGTCTGCAGTGCATTATTTGGGTTTGAGCACATTAAAAATATGTTCAATTTCTTATTCAATATATAACCGAGGAAATACAGTATTAATTTTTTATTTTGATTAAATTTCATATTTTAGATTGTTCCATTAGGAGACACTCAAGATGTATAATAAATATTTTAGTAAAACGTGTTGACTACATTGGGATTTGAACCCAAGACCTTTTAATCACTGTTAAATATTGCTGTGTTAGTGTGCTCCTTGGATGTTCCCATTAATAATAGGAGTACTATTATGCCAAGAAACTGAAATCATATATTTGTGGCTGCTATTATTCAATAATCTTCTCTAAATCTTTTTTGTTTTAATAAACGTCGTATAACATTTATGTCATAGTATGTTATTTATTTGTACATTGAATGATGAATTTGGCTAAAATTTTTCTCTTTATTGTAATTATAATTCGTTAATATTTGTACTAGATATTTTTATATCGTATGATACAAATATTCATAAATGATATTATTTTTTTGGTAAATTGACATTCTTGTTTTAGGTTAAGGGAGGAATTATTTTGATATTAAATGAAATGTGATTAGGTATTGTAA